ATAAATATAGATGAAACACACATACACATAAGCCTAAGAACTAGGAATAGTTTTCCTCAGCTGGTACTCCAAATGCTGCGTAAAGGAGCAAGAATTGACACAAGACTGATTCTCACTAGTGATGTATCAGACCCAAGCTATAGTATGGTAGTTGCCAACCAGGGTCTGGAAATAAAAAGTGAATGTAAAATCGATATTAGCTAATACTACTTAAGCTAGAAATTGGATCTGCAAAATAGGAAGCTGGGAAAATTTTACAACTCCACTTTAAATGACTGGCAGAAATTCTTATGATATATACACAGAAGTTACTAGTGTTTTATGGTTCACGAATACTGAGTTCTTACAAGCACAGCATCAAGAGAATGCCAAAACTGGATTACTAGATTTTCAACTTTCATTTAATGAATATATCGATAAAGCATGCAATTACTTTTAACAGTTTTTATGCAAACAACTGAAATCTAGCAAAAATATTCTCCGGACACCTTAGAGGTAAAATTTTGTGTTTCACTCTTGGAAACTAGTTAGCTTTCTTCCTGATCCGCTGGTGACTAGTATTGTAAAGACAGGGCCCTGGATGGTACAGGAAAAGACAAGTGAAGCCTCTGACACACACTTATTCTAAGGTTACCTTAACAAGGGGTCACCAGAACCTTAATCTACTTAGTATTTATACACTAAAGAAAGTATAAAGTGCACAGGCAGCAGGAACTTCATATGTGATCTGAAGTAGTCTCCCATTGCTAGACTGTGGTTAATCCCTACAGTAATCTCATTTCAAACAGACATTTGTACAGCAAACTGAATGATCATTTTTAACAGAAATATTGCTCAATGTAATTCATGTAATCTTTATTACTGTAGAAAACAGGAGATTGAGCATGAGTGCCATATATTACTGGTTTTAGCCTACATATTTATAGCAAAACAAAACAATCCTGGCTCATCTTTTCCTCAAATACACAACTAAAAAAATAACAACACATAACCCAGTGAACACTTTTAATATTTGTTAAACACCACTGTTTAACATACCCGCTCCTGTCAACTAAACGGAAGAAAACTAGCAAATTACATTTGCACCCTGCAATCTTATTTAATAACTTCCCCCCTGGTTGTTAAAGTACCATGTCCCCATTCTGAGAACAGCATATCCTTAAGGATGCAACCCCAACTTTTGATCAGGGCTATTGACATCTCAAATTGCTGAAATGATGCCTGGAAGTTATTAAAGCCATCCTTTTAGTACAAAAATGAGTCCTGTCAATGGCAGTTTTGATAACCACCCAGTTTCTGTTTGACCACTTCTGCTGAGTTACTTTAAAGCCTCATCAAACAGCTAGCACTGTAGGACAGTGTACTGATATAGAATGATACCCTATCTTACTCACTGTCTACTTTTTTGAGTTTAAGTCTTAACCTTCTTTGGAAGTTCGTTTTGAAGACAGCTGTCACAACTCCCCTTGTTGTCTGGATTTTAGTCAAGGTCCCAATTCTAGAATACATTCTTTCTGTGTATTTGTAATTTTTTAAAAAAGGATTTATTATTTATACAGTATTCAGCCTTACAGTGTTCTGCCTGCATGTATGCCTGCGTACCAGAAGAGGGTACCAGATCACATTATAGATGGTTGTGAACCACCATGTGGTTGCTGGGAATTGAACTCAGGACCTTTAGAAGGGCAGCCAGTGCTCTTAACCTCTGAGCCATCTTTCCAGCCCATATTTGCAATTTTTTAAAAAAATGCAATGCACTTTGTAATTGGCCATCTTCATCTGAGACTTTTTGATGTAACTTAGTTTTTGGCAAATTTACACACACACACACACACACACACACACACACACACACACACACACTAGCTATTCCATTCCTCGTTACAATTTGTCAGTTAGTTACAGAAAATTAATACTCAGCCCAATTTCTTACCTTATATACAGGACACTGTCCAACAGTTCCTCTTCCACTGTGTTATATGAAGCGAAAAGTAATGCCTTAAAAAAGCAAGTACTCTCAAGCTCTGATTCCTGGGCTGGAGACACAGCTCACAGGCTTCTAGTCTTACTGAGGCCTCATGCTTAAGACCAACCACCTCAAAACATAAAGCAGTTACTGTGGTTCCTTCTTCGTATCACAATGATACCTTTATTTTACCAGTCCTTGATCTTCTTCCACACTCAAGATACTACTGCTCAGTGACAACCCTGGAATTTGATACTTGAAGGGAAACATTGTTTCCAAAACCTTTTCTCTAAATGCTACCTGTCCTTCCTTTTGCAGTGACAAAAATCTGACGATTTCTATAAAATATGACATTAAAACCTACTCCCTTGATGCTATTCTTGAAATAGAAACAACGTATGTAAAATCAGCATGCGGCTTGGCAGCCAGAAGGTAGTACATGCAGGATCCAAGAGCATTTATACTGGACACAACACTTCAGACGTACATATAACGTTGTTCAAAATCAGTGATTCTTACCACGTCCTGAACACAACATACTTCTTACTGTAGCTGTAGAACACAGTTTTACCATCCAAGCTGCAAACCTGTGATCCTGATCTAATGTATACCACTTGATTCAACCCGACACTTAAAAAGACTTACTGGCTTGTGTTTTTATCTTTCAATGGATTTATGTGCTTCATCTCCCACATCTGTTCACGGTGTGACATAAGTCACTGTTATGTAGGCAAGGGGAACCTGGTGGCATGCATTTAGAATCGAACTTTTTGAAATATATCTCAATGTCTGTCTTGTCTTAGTCTCTATATTTGCTTTTTCAGCTTTGTATTTTAGTGTGTGTGGTATCAGGGATTTTAACTTAGAGCCTCTTGTACGGCAGGGAAAGCGCTCTATCAACAAGCCATATAGCCCCAAACACTAAAGATTATCTAGTTAGCAGGTATTTCTGAGTCTTTGTAAAAAGTTCAAGGGCAAACCATAGTTGAGAACAGATATTCCTCTTTGTTTCCACATGTGTGTGAATTTTCAGCAACTTTATGCAAAACTGGCATTATGAATGCAAGTCTAAGTGAAGTGAGTCCTTCAGGGCCATACTCAGATGCCTCGTATTGTATGGACAAGGCATAACACATTGGAAGATTAATGTTTGTGAATGAAAGGATTCAAGGCTATCATCTTGATGGTACACAGGAAAAAGTTGAGTTTTGAAAGCTAAGTCAAAATGCTTAGGATTTTCATGAAAATGAAGTTACTCAAAGGATAATTATTTCAAACTGAAATGATAAAATTCATCAGCAAGTATTAATAAGATACCTGTGGATAAATCGCTGGCTTTCATAGACAGGGTAAGAATTTAAGTAAACTTCCAGTTCTTAAGGAAGATTACACTTAGGGAAAATGTCAGCCAAACGTCCACAAAACAGTTTTATCATGTCCATTACAGTGCACCTTAAGTACAGATTGTTGCATTCAAGTAAGTTAGAGGACTGAGCGCCTTTTGCAGGGTGCTAGCTTTTGTTTCCCAAAGCCAGTCACAGTTCAGTGACAGCTGTGTGTCAAAGTGCATCCATATGCTTCACTGCGGGAATAAACTACACAATCAGAGGAAAACAGAAATAATTCTAAGAGGAAAGTTCAGACCAATTTCTTTGTTTGTAGGGTGGAATTTCAAATGCATTTTAAATATTGTATTTGAAGTCAAGTTTGACATCTGACATCACCAAACTGTAAAAACAAAAACAAAACTAGCTTAACGGGCAACTTTCTTTAATGTTGATGACTCTGAATTAAACAAACAAACAAACTGCTGTAGTGTCCACTTGAAATTCTTGCTCATGGCTGCTAAGAATTAGACCCAGCACAACTACCTGCATCTGAGCTAATCAGTCACATGACTGTGCTTCAGTTGATACTTTAGTCGCTGAAGATCCCCTTCTATTGTGTTTTATTGCACAGCAATTGCTTATGGTTACATAGGGACAGTCTTATTTTATAAAGTAAATGATTATGAAAAGATTAATTCTTCACTATTTGAAAAAAAACTGGTATCAACAATTTAGTGTGGTCTATATCAAATAGTGCAGTGGCTGTTATGGGTTTGACACAACTGAAGTGTCATCTTTACTACTGAGGTGGTACTTTGAATTCTGCAACATTTTGTTAAAATCCTGATATTTTTCTTTATCAGTTTTGGCTACCTCAAAATACTTAAAGAAAGTTGAATTTTAAGTTCCTGAACATTCCTGATACACAAACACAGTCTTTTCATAAATGTTTACTTTTCAAACATGATTTAGGCAAATGTCAGATGCTTTCATTCATCCAGAAAAATAGGTTAAAAAATAAAACTGAAAAATTAAATCCCATAGCCTTTTTCCTACCCTCTAGTTCTACTGGTAGCTTCAGCCTGCAGACACTTTATTTATTATTATTATTATTATTATTATTATTATTATTATTATTATTATTATTATTTGGTTTTTCAAGACAGGGTCTCTCTGTGTAGCCTTGGCTGTCCTAGACTCACACTGTAGACCATGCTGGCCCCAAACTCACAGTGATCCACCTGCGTCTGCCTCCTTGAGTGAGGCATTAAGGGCGTGGGCCACCACCTGCAGACACTTACTCATTTAGAAGACAGAAGCCAGTCACCTGCAAACATGAACTGTCCAGGCCAGGAGGATGAAGGTAAACTTCATAAAGACAAAATAAATCTCAAAAATTTTTTTTATCAGTTTCTCACATAACAAAATTTTTGGTTGGGTCCCAAGAGTGCTCGGTGCCTATTTTGTAATGTTGCTATGACCCATTCAACTCTCTCCCAGGGTTAGTGCTGAGGATGCCTTTTAAACAACAAGTAAAAGGGCCCACTGTGGAGCCATTAACTTATTTGCTGACAGCTGGTTAAAAAAAAAAAAAAGGATGATTTAAATTTAGTCACACCATTCAGTGTAATTGTAAAACTTAAGGTTTTTTTCTGTGTTTTTCATGTTGAAGAAGAAATTTCACAATTTCAAATCAAAGTCAACACTGCAGTGAGGAGAGCTTTTCTACTTTATTACAAAGAGAAGAAGCCTTTATGTGGTCAGAAAATACAAGATTGATCTTTTTTCTCTTCCTATGAAACGCTGCTGTTCAAACAGCCAGAGTGAATTGTCTCAGTTCATGTCTTGAAGTCCCATCACATTCACTTGGGTATGGATGTCCTTGGCTGCTGAAAATCTGGCCCTTTAGTGCACAGGGCGACAAAGTCCCCTGACCAGCAGTTCCAGAATGTCCCATTTTCATATATTGCGTCCATGCACACCTCCTAAAAATGAGGTACAGCAGGGCAAACATTTTCCAAAATAGATGTCATATATATAATATATACACATTCGTACATACATACCTTTATTCATGTGATGTCCAAAATTTAAAAAAAATGTACACATTTATTACAAAATCGTAACAAAGACTGGACAGTGTTTTGCTCATTCTGGAAAGATGAAGCTCAGTAACAACACAGCCCTGGAAGCCACCAGAGACTGTGGCAATCTCTTCTACACAGTCATATTCTTGCAGTAAGCCTGGCGAAACTGCCTTTCAGAAACAGAAGGGGAAGTAAAATGAAAGAAGCAGACCTTGCTCATCTTTCCAAATGAAATACGAGAAGGATCTTCACATAAAAATGCACAAACATCTGTTATTTTATTACCAATAGTGCTACAATGAACAATGCAAAATTTGTGGTCTAATTTTGTTGAGTCTTTTGTGGGTTTTCTTTTTACATTTAAGAAACTAAATGGTAACGTCTGTCAGTGTACTTGCTTGTCTTTATAGACCCAAGTCTGTCTGCTGGCAAAAAGAAAATAAATGAAAAAAATTCAGACCCTGCTCAAACTAGAGAAAACAAATTACAAATTTAGTTGTTGGGCAGCACATAATTGGTAAGGCAGGACCTCAAATGGTGACCCTTAACGTAAGCCAAATGCCAGATCCTCAAGGAATTAAACCCAGGGTGCCTGAGCCACATCAGTTCTGCAGTTATGTCGAGTATTGTGCTGAGACAGCCATACCCCAAGAAAAGGGAAGTCTTTTAGAAGGCTTGCTGAGCAGGGTTGTAGTTGAAGGTGGATGGCAGGTGAGGCCGCTCTTCTAATTTGTCATATTCCAGATGGAACTCCTATAAAAGAAGATCAAAAATTGAGAATTTAAATTACTTCATAGCTCTCATTTTTCAAAAACATTTATTGTGGATGTATGTGTGTGAGAGAAAGACAGATGTGTACACAGGTGCGTGTGCATGCGTGCATGCATCCATAGAGTGCGTGTGTGAAGGCTGGAGGACAATCTGAGAGATACAGGCTTTCTACCATGTGGGTTCCGGGAATCAAGCTCAGGTAGGTTGTCAGTCTCCTTGGCAAGAGCCTTTAACTGGTGAGTCATCTCACTAGTCTAAGTGACTCTCTTAGAAGTTTATTTATTTATTTTTGGCAAAACATATTTACTGTCTGAACAATTAACACAACTGCACGAAGAGTAAACAGAGACACAGGCATGCTAGCTCTTTACCCTTTTAGGTGAACAATCTGAAAATACTGTGCCTGTGCCTACTACCTGCTAATACATGAGTACAGACTTTCTGAATGTAAAGTCAGTAACTTGGGAATGTGAATTCATAAAAATTCTGTACTAATCTTACTTTAAAAGGTGAAGTTTTTATAGCTCTAATACGAAAGTCTGAAAATTACAGGTTGTTTAAATAAAACATTTTAATGAAGTACAAAAAGCAAAACCAGAACAAAACCCTGACATTCTGTTCATGTTTAAAATGAGGAACGTTCCAATATTCCTTACTGACAATATTTTTTGAAGGAAACTTATTCTTTAACTGCATTATCTCAAGAAACCAATGAGCTGAAAACACACACATCTCTTCAACCCCCCCTTCAGAAGTGATAGGCAATTTTGTGGCCATTTAAAACTAGACTGTCATTTTGGTGTATGACTATCTGAAAGTTAACTGGATTACTGATTTTAACCAAACTGTCCAACTATATTATAGTTTTATTTACACTGTAGATGCTTATTTGCAGACAGAGCAGGCAGACTAGACACCACAGTGCATGCAGAGGACAGTCTGTAGAGGCTGGTTTTCTGCTTCCACCATGTAGCTCAGCTCAGGTCCTTCAGCTTGTTGACAAGTATTGTTACCAGAGCAATCTTCTGCCCCTTTCCCACTTTTGAGATAAGGTTTTGCTGGGTAGTTTACCCTGGTTTTGAAACTACTTACATAGCCCAAACTGGCTTCAAACTCAAAATCCCACCTATTCTATCCTCCTGAATACTGGGGTCACAGGTTTGTGCCAGTACCTGGCTTCATGAGTTTTAAAATGTAAGAATGCTAAGTTTTTATGATCAGCACTAGAAATATAACCACGAACTAAAAACAAAACAAAACCCTAAAACAACAACAAAAACCTCTAATGACAAAATAGGGAGATACTCTAAAATCACTCATTCTATAATCTGAATCTAACTGACACAAGTTATTTTAAAATCTCAAATCATGAAGTACTCAAAATTGAAGACATCACAATAACAATTAGACATATAATTTGACAGTCTAGTATGAAGTAAAACTAAAAACAAAGCTATTTTTTTTCTAATCTTTTTATGTATCTTGGGAAGTAGGTATTTCACATTCCACAAGATACTACTGAAGAACAGGATCCAAACTTAGCAGGGCCTTTCTTTCCTAATATAACATGTGGTGGTAAAACTTTTACCACAATATTTAAAACAATTTTACTTCATTATACCCTCCAAACTTTGAAACATTTCATGCCTTCACAACCATTTATAATGGTATACTGTGGTGACTTAGTCCTTTAAAAAGATCCCTGTCATGTGAAGAAAGGCAAGGAGGAACAAACACAACAGCTGACACCCCTGTCTTCCCCTAAGCAGTGGAGCTGTCCCCCCCCCCACCTGTGGCTGGAACTGAATATACACATACACAATCAGCAAAAAATCTTCCAGTTAAACCATTCTTTGAAATGAAAATGCATCTTGGTTTCTATAATGCATATGGTATAAAAGGCTTACCTGCAATTTTGACAAATTACAAGCTCTAAGTTACATTTTATCCATATTGACAAGCTATACTGCTTTATTAGCAATTAAACTGATTAACCTCACTGTTAACATTTCACCCTACATATTATAAAACAAAAACAAAAACAAAACAAAACAGAGCAGCTTGAATCTAGGGAGCATAAATACTTTAATAATTAAAAATATTGAAGAGATATTCAGAAATTATATGGGTCGAATCTTGTCTTGACTGGTAATTTATTGTCTCTGTCTTTCACATATTTTTATTCTTAAAAGGTACATGAACCTTGCATCATTGTTACCTATTTTTCTCCCTAAGTATACTCTAACTTGATTATCTATAGCATCTCTTTTACATGTCAATAGTGTACACATACCATGCAAATACTCTTGGACAGAATGTAATAGGTCCATTAGATGTGGTCCACCACATCTAATGCTTGTAATAAGTGTGAGACCCTTAGCAAAAGTGTAATTACTTAACACAAGCAAGGCTTCTGTGGTGGCTTGAGTAAGAATGGCAGCATAAACCCATGTATTTTAATGCTCAGTCACCAGGGAGTGAAACTGTGATAGGATTAGAAGGATTAAGAGGCGTGGCCTTACTGAAGGAAGTGTGTCACTTGGGGTGGGCCTTCAGGTTTCAAAAGCCTTTTCCAGGCCCAGTTTCTCCTTTCTGCTACCTTCAAGTCAAATACAGGACTCTAGCTACTCTTCCAGCACCTTACTGCTCGAATCTTGCCATGCTTCCTGCCATGGTGAAAAATGGACTGACCCTCTGAACTGTAAGGTTAAATGTTTTCTTTTATAAGAGTTCCTGTGATCTTGGTGTCTCTTCACAGCGATAGAGCAGCATCTAAGATACTTTCTTTATTTGCTTTAGAAACAGAATACTTAATTTTTCTAGGCGTATTTTAATATTTTGTGGAAAATGTTGTTGTAGGATAATGATTTTTAAAGCCTAAAAAGAATTCTAGATACGTGGAAAGCAACTTTTTCATGATTCAGTTTTCCTATTAAAAAAATTAGAGGTTAGAGAAATGGCTCAGTGATTAAAAGCACTGGCTGCTCTTCCAGAGAACCTGGGTTCAATTCCCAGGACCCACATGCACCTCACAAATGTCTCTAACCCTTGTTCCAGGGGATCTAACACTCTCACAGAAACAAGCATACAGGCAAACCACCAATGAACATTAAAGAAAAAACAAGAAAATTAGATACTGGGTCTCCCCTCCACAAAGTTACTTTAGTAGAATTCAATTTATACACTGGACTCAAAACTTAGCATTTTTAGGTTATATCCATACATGGTACTTGGTTGGAGAAGCAGTCTCAGACAAGCCCCTGTGCCCAGAAATATTTGGTCCTTGTGGAGCTCCTGTTCTCTCCAGATCTTAATAATTCCCTCTTCTTTCATATGATTCCCTCTCTCTGCCCAAGCTTTGGTTATGAGTCTCAGCATCTGCTTTGATACACTGCTAGGTAGAGTCTTTCAGAGGCCCTCTGTGGTAGGCTCCTGTCCTGCTTCCCATGGCAGCTCAGTATCCAAGTGGGTTCCCTAGTAAGGGGAACAGGGACTGTCTCTGGCATGAACTCTGTGGCTAGCTCTTTGACTTCCCCAACCCCCATGGGAGGAGCAGCCTAGCTAGGCCACAGAGGAGGACATTGCAGCCAGTCCTGGTGAGATCTGATAAGCTAGGGTCAGATGGAAGGGGAGGAGGACCTCCCCTATCAGTGGACTTAGAGAGGGGCAGGGAGAAGATGAAGGAGCGAGGGTGGGATTGGGAAGGAATGAAAGAGGGGGCTACAGCTGGGATACAAAGTAAATAAACTGTAATTAATATTTAAAAAAAAAAAAAAAAGAAAAAGGACACCTGACAAAGATTTTAGCCCATTTGCAAACAAACAGACACTTAGCATTTTTAAGAGTAATGCCATCACTGTTCTAATGCCAGAAACGTATCAGTTTTCTCTTAACTACAGTGAGTTCATACTTATATTTTAGGAAACAAACAAACAAACAAAAAGAAAAAAAAATCTAACAGTGGTACTGAACAATGAGCAAAATATCTGACCATAATCTTTGAAACTAAACTTTTCATTAGTTACAACTGTAGACATGACAGATACAGTCATGAGTACTAATCACATTTACCATTGTAAAACCTAAAAACAAATAAACCAAAACCAAAAAGTAAAACAATTTTTACCCTCATCTGTATTTTCTATTGGATTCAACTTTTTTCATTTAAGCTTTATAAGAACTTCCAGAAAGTCAACCTTTTCTATGGTTTGTATCTTTTAACACTTCATACTGTCTTCTTAAAATGTAAACATCTCAATTTAGTTCCTTGAAAAACAACAACAACAACAACAACAAAAAAAAAAAAACAAAGCAACTGCCCAAACAGCTAATTTATCAGAAATACTTTTTTTTTCCTGTTTTACTTTACTTTAAAAACTGCCTTATGTTTTTGCAATACTAACAATCAGAGAAATGCAGTGCTCTAAAACTAAATGCAGGTCATATTTACTATCAGCTGACTAAGAAAAGCACCAGCTACTATACATAAATGTAAAATATCTATTGCCACAAAAATCTACACAATGCAAAGGGTAACTTTTGCAAAAAAGCAAAGCAACAAAAACAAGATAGAACTAAATAATTAACCTTTCCCTACAGCCCATTCCCCACTCCCTCAATGTTTACTTATAGGAACAATCAACAGTGAATGTCTGTAATTCTGTGTTAAAGAATCTGCAAATAATCAATCAGCGGCCTCTCCTGAAAAGCGTACAAAACCTTTTACAAACTGCTTTTAGAAAAAAAACTCACCCTGTGTAAAATAATAATAATAATAATATGAAAATATATGACTCAATTTTAAGAGTAGCTTTATTTAATAATTTGGCAGTAATAAAAGTATTTCAAATGTTAACATTCTTACCCTAAATCATAAAAATCTCTTACCAAATTTAATAATTTTTCTATTAATGAAATGAGGTTTTGTACACTCCTATGAGGGTTGGCAAAGATCTGACACATTATAAAACAGACATACTGTTACATATTAGTAAGCCAAGGACATTCTTTAAAGTCTATATTCATACATTTTGCACATGGGAAAACTATACCTTGGCTACTTTCCTCCAGTTGAGACAGTCAAAGAAGTAGTAGGTTCCCCGCTCATATGTGTTGGTTTTCATCGTAGGCTCCATGCCTGGCGCCCTGGTAATCCATACCCGCTCCTCCTTATGGTATCTCCAATCACGGTTAAAACTTCAATTTTTAAAAGAGAAAGATAGTTAATTTTTCCTATGACCCACGTTAAACACTTTACACATGTGGTAAACCTTTTCTCAAAAAACTTATATATGAACAGTGTATACAAATGGAGGCTTCTTTATCTGGCTGTGCTATTAAATATAACCTTATTTAAATATAGTAAGATAATTCTTTTGTTCCAAAAGCATATTCTTTAATATACATGCTTTTATTTAAGTTGAATCAACTTCATGTAGACAAAATATTTTTAAAAGTTATATGAGTAATATAATAAACAAGGGGAGACCAAAGAAAGATAAAATATACTGAACAAATAATAGAAATTAAAACTGACGTACATACTAAAACAACCCAATGATTTTTATTATTACGTAAGTCATTAAGTAAAAAGCCAATTTGAATTGACTAGTTAAATTCACACAACTTTATAGATCTCATGAGAATAGAATATCCATTTTGTAAAGTTTAATTTTTAAATTTAAGTCAATCATCAGAACATGGGAAAGTGATCTATGGCACTTATAAACTGGGGTAGCAACATCCAAAGAGACAGACATCTCACAATGATGAACCTCCAAGGAAATAAATGCTTTCCTAAAAACACAGTTCAGTAGTTCACAGACATAAAGGAATGACAAAAAAGTGAATTATGGATGGATGAGTAAGTTGGTAAGTTTACTTCTGATTAGATTAAAAGCAATAGATGTTAATATCATTTCACAAAAATGAGAGGGAAATAGGGGGAAGAGCAAAAAGTAAATTTTCTCAACCAAAAAAAAAAAATTTAAAAACTGACAATTCAGTATCAATATAAAGGCACAAACACACAGGATCTTGTCTATATAATAGTCACTGATGTGTATTAAATAATGAGATTCTGTGTCTAGTCATCAAAAACACCTGCAGTTCTACAAGAACCACAACCATGAGTCCTAGTTGATAACATACATTCAAAAAATTTAATTCACCAATTATGTCACTCCATAGAGTTGACATATGTTTAAAATTCTTTTTATAGTACAATGATTATAAAGCTGTAAATGCTTTCAATATAAAAATTCATTTTACCAAATATGAAAATACTTCAAATTCTCTCCTTTATATTTTTTGTAGTTGTTCTGATGATCCTGGGGATAAAGCTAAAGTCTGGAAACACATTTACCACCAACAACATGCCTGACAACAATTTAAATTTCACAGAAAGGAGAATTTTCAATAAAAACCAAAACAAAATTATATCCACCATCATTTAATGCCCCCCCATCCAAGATGCTCTAGAAGTGAAGGTAATAAGATACTCTCAACATACAGCTCTACTGCAGCTAAGAGCTGTAATACATCTCCTCCATTCATGTAATAGAGATAGAAGAGGAGGTCTTCTCCATATCGGCCAAGTTTGATTGCAGCCAGCTACAAAAGTCAAATAAATTATTCTGAGTTATAAAGCAAATGTAAAAAATTTCAAAGCACAACTGCTACCACAACAGTGAAAATTAGAAGAATAAACAAAAGTTCTTAACAAAGACAACTGTCATTTCATAATTATGCAGTCAGGGAGCTAGAGTTTTCTAGATTCTCTTCATTCAATTAAAGTTATTTATTCATTCATTCATGGAGCCCTATCTTAAATTTGAAAATGAGGCTCGCATGGAATGCCGGCTACGCAGGTTTGTAACTGCTAGCTGAATGCAACAGCCTCAAGTTCCCATGTTCGCATAAATCACCCCAAAGTACGTAGCTAAAGCTCTACCTAAACACTCGGCTTTTCCCAGAGAACCCTAGCGAGTGCAGTTTTCTCCCCCATTATGTTCTCCTATGCAGGTGGCAGTTGTGAATGCACTATATCACCATATCCCTAATATGAATGTTTGTTAAATATTCTCCAGTGCTTTCCACACTGGCCTAACAAAAGGTACTACAACACTTAGACAACTGTGGCCTCAGGTCTATAGTATTGGTGTGGCACAAACAGTGAAAAAGTGTCAAGGAATAACTTCAAAAAGGTGTCTGTGGGTTGTTCCATTATCTGGATAAAATTTGTAAAGAAAAATTTTTCTTATGAATAAGGACAAAAAAATGAGAGTGTCAAAAAAATAATAACCAAATTTTCCAGGTTATTTTATTTTCATTCACTATGGTTATGATGATTAGAAAAATTTTATCAGTCCTAAGATTGTTTGGTTTTAAAATTAAGACCCAAAGCATTAATATAATTTAAAAAAAAAATAAATAAAATTGTTATACAAAACTGGATGGGCTTACAAAAGCATATCCCTAAGATTGCTAGTAGATCATCATGCTGTCTGAACTAAAAACAGTACCAAGAAAGCACAAAGTCTATACTGACTAAGAAGAGAAAGTTATACTCACCTTATCCCTAATATGAATGTTTGTTAAATATTCAGATGGAACATGGAAGTCTGTATAATAAAACACACACACACACAAAAGGGTTGTTCACTGATTTTTAGAAAATATCTTTTAAAAAAGTTCTGAACACAAATAGATTCTCCTACCTATGTCTTGAGGTCGACAAGGTGAAGATGCCCAGGGTGATGCAAATTTGGGGTAGAGATTTCTGAACAAGAGGTAAAAAAAAGAAGGCACTTCAAAGAACAAAGTAGCAAAAATACATTTCTAACTTAATTTTGGAAAACAGAAAAAACAGAATTCAAGGAAACAATAAGGATCCTTTCTGGTTCCCTTGAGTTTACTGAAACTTTGTAGTAAATAAAATAGGATTTACTGCTCCTTCAGTATTTCACCAATTGAATATATAGCACAGCAAATTAACATATACTTAGGTATATCATTTAAATATTCAACTTTAAACTAACTATAATTAACAATGCTTTAAATTTATTTACACATTACTCTGCACTTAAATTAGTTCCTATGTACACATAACTCAAATCTGTAATGATTAGGAGCAAGATTTCATACCCAGTGAATATTTATGTGAGTCCCTATAATATACACTTATTTCTCTTCTAGGTGCTCTGAATACAACTAAGTAAACAGAATGAAGACTGTAAAACTTACTTTCTGTTTAAGTATATGATGGATTAGATGCTGGCAGGTAATTAGTTTAATAGATAAATAATAACTTGTTCAGGGAGGGCCTGAAAGTAAGGGATTGGTTGTATAATTAAATGGGGTGGTTAGTTTAAGTCAGATTTGACAAGTTTAGATTTAAACAAATATTCAAGGATAGGAGAGAAATAATCACAGATTATCTGGTAGAGCAGTGTGCTAGTCAAGGGAAATGCTAAAACAACTAAGGCAGAGACATCCTGATATGAGAGGTAGAATAAGCAGGCCAGTGAAACTACAGCAATGAACAAAGGAAAAAACTACAGAGGTAGAGTTAGAAGAAAGAGACAATGACATGGACACTGGAGGACTGCTACTCAGAGAGTTTTTAAATTAGAATGGAACAACAAATCTGTACTTGATATTGAGCATAGGAATAGCCTATTCAGAAAAGAAAATTATCTTGAGCGCTACATAAAGCTGTACAGAAAGAGCAAAAGAAAAGAATTTCTGATTAGTGATACACTGACAGAATATTCAGGCAACAAACCAGACTGGCAGCAACTTAGTGAGAATGTGATTGGATTCTGTAGCTATTTGTGAGGACTGCAACTGAGGGAAAAGGAAGAAGAGAATTAAGGATGATGTCAAGTCTCTGAAAGTATTAATGGAGAACGAGAAAGCACAGACAGTGTAGTTTGAAACAGACCGTTAAGAGATACTTAGTTGGTAATGGTATCTAAAATCTCAAGCTCAGCAGAAAAGTCTGCAACGGGAATGTATATTTGGAACTTTCAATCTATATGGTCCTTAAAAGGACAAGCCTAGACAAGAGCATCAAAGGGACATCACAAAGAGAGGACTAATCCAATGGCCAAGGAGAGGTTGTATCAGTGAGGAAAACTGAGAGCAGTGAGCTAATCTTCAAAATCAAATAAAGAATGTGTACCAAGAGGAAGAGAGCATAACGTGGTCCACTGAATTTAGTGACATGGCAGGGCGACCATTTCATAACCTTGAACACAGTTTAGTGGAGTCATGGGAACAGAAACCTTGCTAAAATGGGCTTAACAGAAGACAGACAAATTAGAAAAACTAAAATCATTCATTTGAGATGCTTTGCTTCCAGAAAGAACTAAAAATGTGAGAGTAACTCAAAGGAGGTTGAATTAAACGAAAGTATTTTGATACAATTGGAAAAATGTTTATCTCTATGTGACTAAAAATGACAAAACAGAAGTGTTATAACTTGGGTGGAAATCATGGCACATGCCCTTAGTAACAAGATTCAGGCAGAAGCAAGGGAGCTTAGTTAAGGAACCCCACTGGGCTACCCCAGGGGCAGAGTGCTTGCCTTACATGTGTACAACACTGGCGTAGATGATAGCACTAGGGAAAGAAGAAAGAGTTAAGATTCACACTCATGAGATTTTGGAAAGCTCTAAGTAGGAGGCATGGACCAAATACTTTGGCAAGGGTACGTCAGGTTTATATTGGTGGCAGGTCATTAGATCTGGTGACAGAACCAGGTAATGCCCTCTTCTCTTTGCTTCCACCTTTCTTTGTAAAGCAGAAATAAAAGCCAGGTCATTATTTGAGAGTTAGGAACAGAAGAAAAACTATTTACAGCTTGATGAAATAAAATAGTTATATAGGTAACAGCAGCAAAAACAAAACAAAACAAAAACAAAAACAAACCAACAAATAAAAACACCCAAAAGCAAACAAAAAGTTCTAAAAGGACTAAGCATATCAAGTATGAGCATGCCTGCAAAACTAAGAATTCACTGTGAAGATTCTGAGCATGAGTGTATAGTATGACTAGTCATGAAATTATGCTTTTCTCAAGTCCAACCAGAAGATGGGTCAAGAATAAAACAAACAGATAAAACAATGAATACAGATTTTAAGATGCAAGCATAATTGAGTGCTGAGAGAAGAGCAAAACAGTCGAGTTGCATAAGTGAGCAATTATGATTAACCATAAAATTTAATGGTGAGAAGGAAGTGAGTTCATCAAAGGAGAAGAGTAAGAACACTGAGGAAGGTATAGAGTTAATGGACAAAAAGTTCCAAGAGAATCAAATGATTATAGAAGTTAACTTTAAAGAAGTTAACATTAAAGAAGTTAAACTTATGGACAGCATACAGATCTGAATAATGACAAAATCAATGGGATAAAGATACGGCTTAAGAATGGACCCCAACTCCTGATAAGTAGGTAGGTAGGTAGGTAGGTAGGTAGGTAGGTAGGTAGGTAGGTA